CATGTCTGGTTACATCAGCAAGGAAAGGTAACACACTTATATAAGAGCGCCTTACGCACGCGAGCCGTCCGGCTCCTGAAAGCCCCAAGGGCCCTCAAAGGATACAAAGACAAAAGAGTTTTGAGTCAGTGCTCTGTGCTCGGCTTTGTTTCCCCCTCCGACCTCTGAGGCTGAGTGTGAATTTGTTACGACCTGGTTTGATGATCTTTAAGTGCTGAGCTGAATTGGATAGATGATGTCACAATGCATGGAGTGTGCATTTTAAGTCCAACATCCTAATCCATAAAAAAAAGAAAAAAAAGAGAAAAAACCTTAAGGAGAATGGATAATCATTAAATAAGCTGTGTAGGTGTTTTGATTTTAAATTAGTAATTTATACACAAGTAGAAAGAAAACCAGTTACTAAACAACCATGTGTGGTGGAAAAAAATAAGGAAAAATACTGAAATGTTGCTGTGCTGGTCACCATTTAAAAAAAAGCTGTGTGTAGACAATATCTTACCTAGAGTGGACGATGTTCATATCTGCTCTATTTTAGCTCACACTTCAAAACAGCCTCCTAAAATAAAAATAAAACCTCTCATCTAAAACTGAAAGATTTCAAGGAAGTTTGAGCCAAATCTATAAACAGCTGTTTACTTATTTACTATTTTCCCAGCCCCTAAACCAGTGCATTTGTACAGTCAAGTCAATATATATACATATCTCAGTGTTACACTAAAACATGTAACTGAAGCAAATGGATGGTGCCCTTCTGATTTAAATGAAAGCAATAAGATCAAATAACTGTCATGCTGGTTTGTAGTTTTTGACCTGTTGCAGAATCACACGGAGAACGTGTTTTTTAACGTTATATTTACAAAAAACAACACAAATCTGGAAGCAGAAAACTGCAGGAAGTCAGGTTAACTGTCTGGTTGCTTTGAGGCATGAAGGGGAGATTACATGGATCTGCAGGGGTTTGATTCAGTGGGCTGAACCCCAGAGGTCCAGGAGAATTTGAGTGAGATCCAAGTGTGTTGGTACTTGCAGAAGATGCGTTGCTGCAGACGGGGCAGGCAGGTGATGGAGACTAAGAGCTGCTGCACACAGGTGAGACCTTTTCCAGGAAGATTGGAGACAAACCGAGTTAAACTGGTTGTCTGGAACAATAACAGAAGACAGGTCGGCCCAGCTATCAGCGACGATCCTCTCTGTGACAGAAAGCTCACTCACAACAGAAAAAAACAGCAAACTCCCAGAAAGCCTAACAATATCTGTTTTCTTTTGTGTATGCATGGGCAGGCATATAGCATGTAACTTAAACAGCCACATAAAAATCTATCCTATGTTAATACTTTATAAACACATGTCTTTATATCTCCTAAATAACAAGGGTAATCCTCCAGTTTTATTTAGGAATCACTCCAAGAGAAAATTAGCTGGAGATCACTGACACAGGCAGTTATGCTTAGCAATATTTTATGGTCACAAAGAAAAATGCAGCACAATAAAAACATCTTCATTGTAATCTGACAAGATGTGTACATTGATTTTTCTTTTTCCCCCTTAACTCCATGGCTTTCTGTGACTGGAGGACTTTTCCTCTCCTCCTCTTTTGTTTTCATGCACCTTCATCCACATGCAGGATGCTCAACGCTCCAAGTTCGTTGCATGGCAATGTCTAAATCATTTAAAATCTAGAGATTTTGCACTTTCTGTTCTCAAAAAATAAAGACTCAGCAAGTTTAATGAAACACCTGAGGCTGCAGGGGTTTTGAATAGAGCTTGTTGGTATGTCCCAACCATACATCAGAGAAGCCAACGATTAGAACAAACTAAAAACTTCAATAAGAGAAGGTGCTGCAGGGCAGGGAACATAATAAAACAAATTACTGGAGAAAGAAGAACAACAAAAACATAATTATCCAACACTACCAGAAAAAAATATCACACAAAAAAAATAATATCTGGAGCAAAAACAGAATCAAACTTACATTTAATGGGTTGGAAATAAAGGAGACAAAACCAACAAAGAGGAAGTAAATTAAACCTTTCTCCAAAATATTAATAATAAAAACACAGTCATACCTGCATTGTTAACATGTAACGTAGGTGAAATTGGAATCGATTAAAGTCCAAACCTTAAATAAGTAATGAAATATTGCACAGGACAATAAAAGCATAACTAAATTCCTGAATTCTCTGGAGCAATAAAAAATTAAACTTGACCGAACTCTTTTCAATTCATCCATTTTCCTTCACGATTATCCCAAGCAGGGTCACGAGGGGTGCTCCTCTCTGCTTCCTGAAGTCTTTACCATTTTATATGAAATTAAATGAATGAATGAAGCTGAAAGATGCTAACAAAACTCTGATATAATATTCTTTTCGTAGGAATGGTAAAACTGACAGGCACGTTTGACATAAATTATGTGTGATACCTTCGAAATTGCTACATGCTGTGCAGCATAACGTGAGGAGAAATCCCAGAGGGAGTTTTTTTTTTTTTTCCAGCTCTGAGGCCTGGATGATAGATGGAGTATCAAAGTTGGCAGCGTTCCCATAGCTTCAAAGTGCAGTTGTGAATGAGTCATAATACACTGAAATCATTCTACTTTGGACTGAATGTTAATGAACTGCTCCCAAACAGACTGCTGCATAACCACTTCCTTAGAACTTGTAGGCATTTTGTTTGCTTAAAGCAACAAACAGTGCATTTAACATAGATGTTATGTGACAGAGTGTGTATTTGGGAAGCAGAAAATGATTCATGAGGTTTGACATTTCTTATGAGTAAAATCTGAGTCATAAAAAATGTGCAGTCAGTAAAAACTTATGCATCATTCAGGATTACCCTGCATCTAGCCCCATTTATTTTACTATGAAGTCAAACCAGTTTACTTCCCTCTGCTAAGGAAAGGAACCACCACAGCATGATGCTACCACCACCAAACCCTTAACATTTCAAATCAGGGTTTATCCAGCCAGATTACTTTAGTCCACACAGTAAAAAACTGGGTGTAAAAAATTCAAATTATTTACTCTACTAAGAGTATAACAACTATAGGGAGTGTAAATCTGCTCAAGTGTTGGAGTTCATATTATAAAATTTGACAACTGTGCAGAGTAACTTTTACTCTATATTTGACACTAAAATTATTAAATTATCTCTGAAATGTTGACACTGGTTATAGAGTAAATTGTAAACTAGTTTGGAGTGAGACCAAATGTTATCTGAAACAGTTATCTTGAACTCTCTAGGTGTCAAATAACAGTTGTTTTTTTCACTGTGCATGTCTGCTGTGTCTATCTCATTGCAAACTTTAAACAAGACTTCTTCTTGATTTATTTCGATAATTCCTTTCTTACTCCCTGAAGACCTGATCTGTAAAGTGCAAGAGTTTTCGCTTGAAAGTTTTTAGGTGAAAGTTGCTATGTTGCTGCAGGCTCTGCCTAAGTAAAGAAAGGAAGATTTCTCTGTGCAAAAAGGGAAAACAGTTTTTCCCCTAAAACATGTCTATCACCGCTGCCAGCCAAGCTACACTGTGAGAGACTTTGTGAGAGCACTGTTTAGGGTTTGATAAGAAGGCTTCAACTAAATGTTGGTGATATTAATGCAAAACCTTCTCATGTTCTTCTCCACACAAAAAGATGGATGTAGCATCCTTCCTCTGGCTGCTGTTCCTAGTGATCCCAGCAACACATCTGCTGTTCTCTGTTCCTTGCCTGGGTGTAAAAATTTGTTTCCACTAAAACAAATGCTGTTCAGCAGGCACTAAAGTAAAGTAGTGAGATTTGGTATTAAAATGAATGAAGCATGAGCCAGCCCATTTCTAATATTTAAGAGGCTCAGATGGTTCATATGATTTTATAGTTTCTCACTATAGTCTGGTTTGTGAAAACATAAAATATTTTTTCTACTGTATGTTGCTTTACTTATATCACTGCTGTAGGTTTAATTACAGCAGTTAATTAAAAAGGAGCAGCTGTTGGTGTTTATCAGTAGCATCCAGAGGTGTCAAAAGTATTAATGTTTATTAATTATACCAGTAGAAGTATAAAGTATAAATTCTACTTTAAAAAAAAAACACTCCTGTAGAAGTTAGAGTATCAAGTTCAGCTTTTTAATCAAATAAAAGGACAATTTTCAGAACTACTCAAAGTATAAAAGTAAAAGTAATGCAGCAAAAAATGTAAAGGACAGATGCTGCGCTGCACTACCCTATTAAACTTCCTTATACTTAATTTTCTAAGTTTTATAACTAATGGTAACAGTGTCAAATTAAATTTTGCATCGTCTTGAAAAACTTTATTTTGGTATGTGGCGAACAACATGTTTGTGCAGCACCGAGTCCAACCACAGAGAATTAATTGTAGGGATTAAAAGAAACCATTTTGATGTTTTAGTATTGTATTTTAGTACTAGTATTGTCATTAACAAAGTAGTACTTGTACACCTCTGGGAGCATAATATTAAAGAAAAAAGCAGTCTTAGATACTTTGTGGGATATTCCAATGTCTAAAGTTATCATAAAGAATATATTTTTCTCTCCCTGCTAAACTTTGCAAATATCAGCCACCACCTGAATAGGTTAGATTTGTTAGTAATTTACCAAGAGTGTCATGTGACTGCAGCTTATATGAAATTTGAATCTAAAGCATTGAAATGTTCAAACTCCCCATATCATGATGCATTTCACCAGACAGGAGCAGATGTTCAGTACTGTGGGGCATGCTGTCCACAGTGTTTCCCACGTCTCTAACAACTGATGTCACGCCTGATCGTCAGATCGAGGTCTACGATTTGAAACCAAAAGAAAATGTAATCATATGTACAGAAAAAGATGTGGAAGCGGAAAGCAAACCCAAAACGGAAATAAACAAAAAAGGGTTTAAAACATGAAAATGTGTATTATAATAATACATTTACTTATGTGGGTTTGTGACATACAGTCTCTCCAAAGCTTCATCCGTTGCTGGAAAAAGATAAGAAAAATATTGCAACTTCCATAAAGAAATATATTACAATCTTTTTTTGTTTATTGCAAAACAGGCTTTTCAATGTTTCTGATTACGGTGTTCATCTCCCAAGTTTGTTCTTGGCTTTGGGCAAAGGCATTGTCCAAAAGCATTTAAATGTAAATGGTTTTGGTGTAAACAAAGAATAAATCAATAGACCTGAAGACACACTGTGAATGAATACAAAGTAGTCAAAAGCCATGATGTGTCAGATACATTTGTAGAACATCCTCTGTTCTGTTTCAAATTTTTATTGCAAAACTTTTTTTAAACATAGTCAGACAAGGATTTAGCGTGTAAAACTGTCACGATGTTTACAATCGAAAAGGCACGACTTACCACAGCTCAGAGGAGGAAAGTTTTTTTTTTTTTTTTGGAGACATTTCATTGTCAGAAAAGACAACTGGACTTTACAGCAATGCACAATTTCTATTTTATTCCAAACATACAATTTAATAAACCTTATTTATGCACCAAAATATAAACAGATCAATAAACCCAAATTTGCACGTGCAAACCAAACAATTTAACAAAATAAAATACGCTTATATAGAAATTGACAGGAATTTTAACATACTTTTTTAAAAGAAGTGTAAATGATAAACAAATCTCCTGTCCTCTGGTCTAAGATTTCAGTAACAAAAAAATCATGAACATCACTAGCTTGAGCTGTTGCGCTCTTTTACTGGTGTGCCAGTGCTACTTCTCCTGCTCTGAGCTGGCAGCTTGGTCCATTTGTCTTTTAATCCCTTAAAGTTATATAACCTCCCAAAGGATAAGTTAAAGGGAACCCTTGCTTCCTCCAGTTCCTGAACTGCTTGTTCAGACCTTATTGGAGCAGAGGCATGAGGGGAAACATGAGGCTGCAGGTTGGAGAGCATATGGAGATTGGCGGCCTGTGGCTTTGCCGTCTGGATTTGCGGTTGGTCGGGTTTTGAACGAATCTGTGCTGCAGGAGGTTGGCGAGGGGGGAATCGCGGCTGGCTCTGAGAGACTTGCTTTCGTCCTGGTACTGACCCAGCAGGAAGTGCTTTCAGAGGAGAGGGAGATCTGGACTGTGATCTACGAGGAGGTGGTTTGAGAGTTAATGCCTTGAGATTATTTTGAAGAAACGTGCTTTCTGTCTGGTTGAGATCACGTATCCCCGAACGACAGGCCCCCTGAGCTTGGGAGGCAGGGGAAGGTCTGGAGGAACTCAGTGGTCGGGAAGGGGAAGAACCTCTGCTGCCGGGCTGCTGACGTGGCTGAGATTTGGGTGAAGGATGAAGAGGCTGTAGAGAGACAGAAGATATATTTTTCTAAGACATAACAAAGGTAGACAGCAGTTTATTGAATAAAAATATAAGATATATCACTGGAAATATCCAGGCATGACAATATGACCACTGACAAGTAGAGTGAACAGCACTGATAATCTCTTTATATTGGCACTTTGGCTCATGAGTCATTTAGTCAGCAGGTGATATATTTGTCAAAGTTTATATGTTAAAATCAGGGGGAAAAAAGGCAAACTTGAGACTTTGAGTAAGTTTTGGTAGGACCAATAATCAGAATACAGAGGCTATAGCAGTTATCTCAATTTTACCCGATGGCTCCAGCCTCGGGTATTATGTCAGATTATTGTCTTTTTAAAGTTACCTATAATACCAAAAATCTAACAAAGCTTTAGAAACAAATTCATTATTTTTCAACATTGCTTTGATCAACATCTAGTGGGAATTTAAATATGCCATATGTCAAAAGAAACTATTGCCTCATCAGAAATTAAAATGTATCTGTTCCTACCTTCTGTCCTGTTGTCTCCTTGGTAGACTGCCTCCTTCTTGTCTCCATATTGCTTGGAGTTAGTGCAACCTGGTTCAGTGGCTTTTCCTTGCTCGCAGATGCTTTCTTTCCCTCGGACAAAACCCGTTGTGGTCTAAGTTCACCAGTGGACATCCGCTTTGGCTCTTTCTTCACTGATTCCATTTCTGTCATGCCTCCCTCAAGCAGTCTCCCAGAGGTCGTGCTGAGTTTTGAGGTCATTTCCTTTATATCAAAGTCTTGTTTTGAAGGCCCAGGAACTCTATTCAACTCCTTATTGTTGGTCCTCCCAACTCTCTGGTTTTCTTGTTCCTCCTTTTTGTTTGTGTTGCAACTTTGTACCTCATTTTTAGCCTCCTCTTTGCTATTCCTTTTATCTATGACCTTGGATTCTTTGCTGTGTACTTTTGTATCAACTACTGGGGTAGAAGGATCTCTACCAGTCCGAGCTGAAGTACTAGATTCAGTGCAAGTAGCACTCTGTCTTACACTGGCTAATGCCGCAGGATTAGAGCTCTTATCCAGGTTTACCTGACTGGTACCAACACTTAATGAAAAAGGACTTTCCAAAGATGTTGTGCTATGTTTCCTAATGATCCCATGGTTTTGAAATCTACTTGCATCAATAACAGATTCATGTGAAGGAGATTCAATACATTCAAAGTATTCTTCAGAGGTAGTAGAGAGAGTGGAGTCTTCTCTTGGTGAGAAGTAACCATCACACGTATCAGGTGTAGGTGTTCGTGGGTCTGGTGAGTTTGTTCGTGAATCTGTGGTGGGTAGATCTTTAGGAAACACTTTTGCTATTGGAGTCTCTACAACAGCTGTGGGCAACTGCAATTCTTGTTTGTTGGATTGCGCACTGAAATCTGTGACTTGCACATTGGAAAGGTTTAAACTAAGTGTTTTTCTGGAGGTATGCACACCCGGTTGTGCTTTGCAAGCTTGCTCTTGCAGGGTGTCATGCTTGTGTTTTTTCATGGAGTTTAAAATGATGTCCATTCCGTCTACTGATGGGACATGTGTTTGTTTAGGAGGCTGACTCAGTGCATGTGCAGAACTCTCTCTGTCATCACTGTGTTTTTCTTTGAGTGATAGGCAGTTTATTGGATTTGTTAAAGACTCCAAATCTTTTACATCGGTTTCTTGTAATGTAAAATTACTATATGATATTTTTTGAGGTTCATGACATCTTGCATGGTATGTTTGAGTGACATTTGTCTCTTTTGCACACTCTAAGTTAGTACAGATTTCATCTGAAGATCTGGTGTCTGTTATTGCTTTGGTTATGCAGTTAATGTTTGTCTTTGAATCAATATTTTCTGGTTTTATCTTTTTAATATTCAAGATGGTTGTGTTTGAATCATCTTGCATTGAAACATCGGACTGTGTTTCTAGGCTGGGGACGGACTGCTCTTCTGCTCTGCCGTTGTGTTTTCCTTCAGCTTCCTTATCCGTCGTCTTGTGGGAAGTGACAGTCTTTGTTTCATGTTTGGCATCCTTAGAAATATTTGAGTGCTTTGTGTGTTCTTGATCTCCTGTTTCACTAGCAATGTCCTTGTGCAGTACTGGGACACTCTCAAGAATTTGCACTGGGGATATTTGTACCAAACTTTCAAGAACCGACTCATCATTATCAATTTGTTGTTCTAAATTGATCTCAGATCTCTTGACAGCAGAGATCTCTGGTGTTGTCTTGCTATTGATGTTATCTTTTTTAGACAGCTGGTCAGTAAGAGATTTAGATTCTGGAGTAACAGAATTTGTAGAAGAAGATGTAGAGGACAAGAGTAAAGGCAATGCTGGAACAGATAAGGTAGAGGGAGACAGGGTGGAGGGTGAGGTGGTGGAGGGAAAAGTATAAGAAGAACTAGCTTTGGTTGTAAGTTTAGGTTTGGAAGGCAACACTTCAGACTGCATTGGAGAGACAGAATCGGTAGCAGCGCACTTGGGTTCATCAGGGTATTGGAGGTTGCAAGTCTTTTCAGAAGAGATTTTGGGTTTCATACTCACAGCATTAGTGTGTGAAACATGTGATACAACAGGCTCTTCTTCTGTGCCTTCTGTATTTAGGAGAGGTAGTTGGTGAAGGTGAGATTTCTGTGCAGTTTTTGACTCCTGGGTGTTTATTTGATCCACAGAATCATTTTGTGCTGGTAAAACAGTCACAGTGTCTGATTCTTGTACACATGTAGAGTCTTTGAAGGGCTCTGACAAAGTGGTTGTGGAGTGAATTTGAGTTTCATCTGAAGGTTGTTCATTTTTAGGTGCATGTGCTTCAACACTAGCTTGGGGTAGTGCGGGTGAACTAAGGTCCATTTGACATAAACCTGGAGTTGTGTTATTGTTTGAACTAAGTTTGTCCTCTGTTTGAAGAAGTTTAGTTTCATCCATTTTAGAATTTATATTTTGTTTATCAAAGGGTATTTTTTGTTCAGGAGCTATTTCTTTATTATTGCTGTCAACAAGACCTATGCTTTTCTGCTCTGGCTTTGCTTTATCTACCGACAAATTCTCAGTCTTAGTTTCACTTTGTGCAGTTTGTTTTCGGGGTCTTGCGACCTCTGGCAAAGTTTCCTGTGGCTTGCTGAATGGACTGCTAAACTTGATTGCTTGGCTTGTTTCAAACATCTCAGAGCGTTGCAGATGAACTTGAGTTGGTTTTTTAGAATCCCGAATATTGATGAACCCTATCACGTCGTTTGATGGATCCGGCTCTGGCCAGGTGGGAAGGTATGAGATCAATTGGGCTTTCTCTAGATTTATTAGTCCGGGATGGAGAGGAGGAGGATCCTGTTGGAGATCTCCATGTATTCTTTTTCGCTTCTTCTTATTTTTGGACTCTTCTGAGAGTTCAGGTTCTTTTGGACTATCATTGCCATTCAGGTCGACAGTAGTAGGGCTATTTAAAGCAACAAGGGCGTATTTGGGGTTGTAGAGTTTTCTAGTGATAGCAGGAGAAGGGGTGGGCAATGATTGAACCTGATGTCTAGTGTCTGGTTCAGGCTCTGGCTCTGTGAGGACTTGCCTAAGGTCAACAAAAGTAGAATTCATATACAAGAAGCGAAAAAGTTGATCGAATGCATCCACAGCCTGGCCCGTGATAACAGTGATGAGATTTCTGTCGAGCCGTGATGACGTCCATGTGAAACTAAACAGAAAAAAAGTCATCAAACAATAAATAGGTGTTAATATTCTTTTCAGTTAATTAATAATTGTTTTGAATCAAGCTAGTTTTAATCTAAGCAACCTTGCACTGAAACTGCCTGATTGTAAATGGTAAATAGTAACTGGCCTGTACTTATAAAGCTCTTTTTCAAGTCCGGACTTAAACGCTGGTGGTGGCAAGCTACATTGTTTTAAAGCAGAAAAAACATATCTTGTTCATGAAACTTACTATTACTATTACCATTGACTCTATTATTATCGTCACATGCCACAATGTGAAGAGACAAAATTTGCCAGATAATTTTTTCAGTTTTGTAAATACAGAGATTGGATGTAATATGTGAAATCTGATGTTTTATACAACAATGCACCAGACACACACCTACAGCTTATGTTAAAATGAGACTTCTGGGTTTTAGTCATGTTTGATTGCTCCAGTCTTATTTTCTATATGCTAAGCCTCCTGTGACATTAAACGTAAAACACATGACAAATCTTTTATTGATTTGGAAAAGTATTTTTTTATCTGCCTTAGTTTGTTGTTTTTTTTTTTGTAGTTGGGCTATTCATTATTCTAAGTGTTAAAATACAAGAATTGCACATAACTTTGTACTTTTCCAGTCTCTCTGATCAAATAGTTAATCAGATGTGATGTTACTCATGCTTGAGTAGACTTTTTTACCAAATATTCTTTGTCTGAGTAATTCCATGGATGGCTACGTTGTTACATTTCCTTGAGTAAAAACATGTTGAAATTGTGCTACTCTTACTTATGTAAAATTTCTGAGTACTTCACATTTGCCTAAATGTAAAAGTTTAGATATGGTCTTTTATTATTTTCTAGAATTAAAACCATCTGACTTGGTAAAAATTGAAAAGCTTCTCTTTAGTTTTTTTTTGGGGGGGGGGTTCCACTCTGCACACATATTTTAAGGGTCTGAGACACATTGATTTTGTTTTCCTTTAGGTATCTAATAATTTAATTTTGTGGTAATGATTATGGTTCCTATCTTTAAAAAAAATATCCATATGTAATCAAGCTTTTACTTCCTAACAAATGCTTTAAAATGTTGCTCCAACATTTCTGCACAGCTTTCTTTCCTTATGAGGCCCTATTTCTATACTTTCAAGTCAGGTCAAATTTAATCAGGCTTCCACCCCTTTTCAATCTATTTGTAATAATGGTAATGATGACCCAAAACTTGTCATGTCTCCGAAAATAAAGGTAGTTATACCTGTAATGTGGCTTATTGGAGTACCATCTATGTAAATGTTTAATCCATAATTGTACTGGACTCATTCAAATAAAGGAAATAGCACTTACTTGGCATTGTGATGCAATTTGAATTACAAGCTTGCCTTTTTCTGTGGTTGACACACATTTTGTGCAACACAGATGCCACACCCTTCCTGTTTAATATGATGGCTTTACATTCTTTGCTGTTAGCACTTGTATACAGCTGCTTGAACTGATGAACTTCTGATTTAAAGTAAGAAATATTCTTAAACAAATGATCTATCACCCCATCCTGAACCCCCTCCATCATACGCATGTAGTTAAGTAATGTTCACTGACCTGTATGACCCAGATACAGATTTGTCTCCATCAATGAACATGAACCGGTGCCCACTTTGCCCTTTGACCTTGGTGCAATGCCGGGTGTAAAACTCTGCGCCTGCTGTGCATCGTACACGAAGATGCTGAAATGCAAAAAAACAAAAAATAAACGGTTTCATCAGAACAATCATTTACTTTGGAGTTTTAACAATAACTCAAATAAAGGTGCAACATCCCTTTGTGAATCACTGTTATTTGCAAAAGTAAAAAGGAACAGTATTTATTATCATTTTAAATGTTTCACATTTAAATCTAGAACACAAGACCTATTTTGTTAGGATTTTAGAAGATAAACCAACAAAATAGTGCATACTTGTGAAGCAGAAGAGAAATTATTTCAAAAAGTGTAATGTGCACTAGTATTTAGTCAATACTGTGTAAAAACAATCCTCCAATTACAGGCTTTAGACATCTTTCAAAATTATTGCCAACAGTGCAGATTGATCTAAACTTCTGAATTGTACCTGTAGCTCTGTTATGTGTTGTTATTTTTCAGCTAGAAGTCAAACCACTCCAGTTTTCAATTTGTTTATTTTTTTGAACATTTTTTCTTCCAGTAGTGTCCCGCAGCATGATGCTATCGCCACCATGTTTCATTGAGGGTGAGGTGTGTTCAAAGGACCAGAGCTCCTTCTTTTACATGTTTTACTGGCTTGTGATAGACTCTGTAAGGAATTTTCTTAAATAATTACAGTCTTTCAAGGAAAGACTCATGAAGTGCAGTAGAAATCATTAAAGAAGATAGTATTCCCTCTGCAAACTCTTTCTCTATCCTCCTCTGTTGGGAACCATATGCAACTGTTGGGAAACTTTATCACTAAATTGACTTTTTTGTGCTGTGTCCTCCAGAAAGACAGCATACTCAACACATGCAGTAAAAATATTGTGTAACCACATATCTATAGTAGCAGAAGGATACTTGTAAAGCTTGTTTTACAGCAAATAAAATGTATTCTTCCATTTGGTTACACCCATAACTTTCTCCTTTAGTCTGGTTCTTCTCTAGGCAAACACAATCACTGAATCAACAGGCTCCAATACTTGGCCTTACTTTACTACCGGTTTATTAGAATAAGTAATCATAAAGACATCCCTACCATCAATATGCATATTCCCATTTATCAAAAATGTTAAGTTTAAGTGACCCTTTTGGACTTTCTTTCTCCATTACTTTACAATTATTTTTGGACAACCAACAATGAAAAGGAGTCTTACATTTTCCTTTTGTCTGCTGAGGTGCAACATTCTTCTTTATCTATCTAATACAGTGTTAACTCATCTGCTCCTCCACCCCTTCCTGTTTATCCGGCCCTCTAACTCAACTCCTGCTCATCACTTACAGCTTGCAGCAAAATCTCAATCTGTCACACTTGTCTTCCTCCTTCCTGCCAGACACCTTCTTTTCATTCAGGCGCCTAGTTTTCCTGCCGAGTTGTCACTTGTGGAGATTTGGCATTAACTCCTCTGTAATATTATACAGCTGCACTACACACACAATTTGCCACCAGAAAACTGCACTGGTGCAAACTTTATACATCTCCATAAAAATTATTAAAGGTTGTACCATTTTTGTTGGACGTTACAGGTTCTACTCCAACCGCTGCTCCCCAATAATTCAAAGTAGTACTGTACGACATGGAAACCTAAGGATTCCAGTGCTATATAGGCAGAACCTAATATAACTCAATATTTTTTTTATGCATCACCAGATTTCCTGAAATCAGATGAACTATATAGAAACATTTGTGTTAATACCAAGATTAAGTTCTCCATTTGATCCTCGGAATATTGTTTTGAACATGAAGGGAGCCCTGATTAGCAGTTGTGAGAGGAAAGCCTACCATCATACACTCCATAATTACAATGAAGAAACATGATTATCATTATTCTCTGAAAACCAGTTAGGTCTTTACCAATTATCAAGACAGTAATCAGGCAACGCTGCGCATGTTCCTGATTACTGCCGAACCTGTTGAATCAGAAGTCCCTTAAGTTAAGCAAATTAAAACTCAAGAACAAATAAGAAAAAAAGTTGATAACATTTATTAGTCTGCAAAAAAAGTAAAAAATCTATTTGTTCAGCTGTGGGACTCCAGGAGACCATATTTAACTCAGAAGTCACAAAAAAACTCTGAACACTTAAAGCGCTGAAGGGCTCACCTGCCTCAGTGAAGGTCAGTATTCATGAATTAAAAAAACCAGAGGAGCACAGATTGACTGTAAACACAGTTATTATGTTTTAAACTTATACACATAGAATTAACCTTGCTTGGATAGTTTTTTTTTTCTCTTTCTAAATAGACTCAACAATTAAAAACTGCATTTTGTGTTTTTACAGTTTCTTTGTTAAATCATCTGAAACCTGTTTCATTATATTTAACACCGAGTGCAATAACTATATAAAGAAATATAAATATCCATCTATATAAATACCCATGTAAACACCCTGTGCAATAACCCTGCATAATGATCCTACGAGTGAAAAGAACAAAGCTTGTATATGTGGAGGTACTGTGTATATTGTATATATAGCCCAAGAAACTTTTTCATCCTTTGGTACATTCTTCTGCTCTGAGTATTTGAGCTGATGTAATGAGTAAATTTCTCCACTGTGAGATCAATAAAGGCAATCAATCAATCAAACATTACATTTTTTTTGTTTGTTTTTTTGCGAAGGTAACTTAATTACACAGAAACCTGTATATTGATTAATCTTTAAAAAAATGATGTGGATCTTTCTTTATATTTAGAATGATTCCATTTAAAAAAAAAAAAACAGTGATATAAGACAACCTCATGTCTTAGATCATCTTAGGATTGTCAACAGTTTAATCATCCCTGAGTTGAAGGAATGTGATTTATATAACAGTTCCCCTCCATCACTTGACAGCAAAAAAATGTGTCATGCTCTGTCAAAATGTAACTTTTACAATCCTAATTATGAGATGAAAGGTCACAAGTATGACTAAAAGTCATCATTTCAAATTTTCAAAGTATTACTTTGAGAATACATGCAAAATTATTAGATAAAAAGTAATAGTTTTGACTTTAAAAGTCAAAATGAAAAAATAAAATAAAAATGATATTAAGAGGAAAAAGTCTTTATTAAATGTAATTGTTTTCATGTGATGCAAATTAGTATTTATGATATACAAAGCGATAATTTATAACTAAATTATAACTTTATGCCTCTTAATTATGACTTTAGCCACATTATAATCATATCTAAACTTACAATGACTTTGCATCTCATAATTCCATATGCATTATAGTTATTATATAATAATCATTTTTAGTTCCATAATCATGATTTTAAAAGTCAAAGTTATGATTAAACCTTGTAACTTGAGTCAACATTAAAACGTCATTTTAATTTAATTTCTCTGAGGTTTTTTTTAGGTTTTTTTTATACCTCTGGTGATTGATGTTGTGCAGCTGAAATAATTTTTCCCAATATCTTTTCATTTTTTGGATATCTGTTTTGATGCATGACCATAGAATCCATAGAAAGTTGTTTTCTACACTAGAAAGCAGCTCATTAACATGTAAAAAGCTTAAATAATACTTTTGCAAGTGCCAGCTGAGTTGAAAAGGAGGCACCAAGGATGGAGAGATGGAGCGAAGGGAAGAGAGAAAGAATGAGAAAAAGAAGCCCTCTTTTCCATCAATCATTATGGGAATTCTGAGAAGTTAAAAGTTCCAGCCCTTGCAAAAATCTAGCCAGAATGTTGTATTATGTGTTTAACTGAAAGATGGAAACAGGACCATATCCCTGAATCCAGTGTTTTGTCTGCCAGGCTTTCTGACCATACGAGCAGAAAGATATTTATTGAAGGCTGGGAAGCTTAGGGGAGGTGGGTTGGAAAAGTTACAGTGAAATTCCATCTCTGCAGCCCTGATGCTGAACTACTGCCAGGTAGTTTTTGTCCATATTATTTACCCAGATAATTCACCAGTGTTGTTTTGGAAACGTTTTACATTCCACCTGCTGCTGTTGACGACACTACGTGCAACATCATCATTTTATGTTGTTGCTAAGCTACAGCCACAACAGCCAAATGCATTTGTGGCAGTAAATCTGATTCTAATCAGACCTCACCCTCTGTTATACTTTCAATGTTACCAGTTTTATAGCTGCTGTATCAGAGAAAAGAAAACTTTCAACTTGTGTTATGTAAATTTAAAGGACTCATCTGTAGAACAAGACCCTCCTCTGGGGGATATCCGATCACAATCTTGTTTTTCTCTGTTAAGAAGATGGTCACAGAAAGCAGACACAACACTTCCAAGTTGTGTTGAGGACAAAGACCGGCATACTGTGTCGGTTACATAGAGGGGACATCAGTGCAATGACTGAGTGTGTTACTGCCTATATAAACTTCTGTGTAGATAACACCGTCCCAACAGTAGCTGTGTTTCCATTCAACTAAAATTCTAATTTTAAGTGAAGTTTTAAAAGTTCGAAGAAAAGGAAATGCAAACTTTGTTTCCATTTGGTTTGAAGCAAATTAAGCAAGCACTGCAAAGGCATCCTACATTGTCATCCATATTACATTATCACACATGGCTGTAGTAAACAGGAAGCAGAGCATTGACCACAGATCAGTAAGGGAGGAAGATTTTAATGAATGTGTTGTTCTTATGTCGACATCAGCAAGTAATCGCATGTTGTTTCCACCACTGTCTATGTGCAAAACAGGAACATCTGGGAAGACGCCGGCAGAAGAACAGCTGATCAGACAATTGAGTAAAGGTTTGCTACGTCAGAACTGTTTTGAAAAAAAAAAAGTGTTTCCATCTTCTGTTTTGTGCATCAACCCTTTTTTGCAAAAAGCACCTCAGCTCACAAATTTTATTCAAACTTTGCCTGACCATTGAGCTTTTCTGATGCAACACTTCAAAAGGCACATTAGAAAAGCTGATGGAAGCGCACCTAGTATGATGCTATCCCAATAAAAACTATAGATCAGACCACCAGTGATCTGAAGGTACCACTAAACAAGAAGAAAACAGCATTTAGTAAGGGATATATTGAGGAGTATACAAAAGCAACTTAGAAAAAACTTAGAAATTAAAACATAAA